GGGGGTGCCCATACAGCTCTTGTGTTATTCACAAGCCACAGCCTCCAAGCTGTCCCAACCGCATGCTCGCTCACTTCAGCAATGGTTCCTTAGCCCTCAGCATCTGTGACCCCGGCACAGCCGTTAGGATATAGGAGTGTCTGGTAAAGCCTGTGAAGATTATACCTGGAGCCACCCTCAGGGAACATGGCTAATATTTCGGTCCTATACCCGCATTGTCTCTGAAGCAATAGAACAGCTCAGTTCTGTAAGCCATACAATCCTGTAAAATGAAGCTATCCTAACTAACCAATTCAAACCCTCAGATAACACCTCTCAGTCTTTCTCTTGGTTGACTCTAGTACAGCAGGGAGCCAACATGTTAAATTGAACTAAAGATATGAATATCACCAACTGCTTTTTATGTGCCGCTCTCAGCAACTCCCCCCTTAGCTGCAGTTCCCCTCAGGTCCGGGTTCAATCTGTCACAATCATCTATGGGACCCGGCACCATCTTAACAGATATCCCCTTGTTCCAAGTACACCCTCAAAATTTTTCTCTCTGCCATGAGACAGCCAGCAGCTCCAGTCCCAGCTATAACACCACATTAAAGGTAAAATCCTCCCTCTACACAGCACCAAGAGGATATTTATGGTGTAATGGAACCTTAACTAAAGTTATTAATGCCTCCTTCCCTTTCCCTTGTGTGCCTGTCACCTTGGTCCTGCAGTTAGAGGTATATGGACAGGCCGAACTTCTATCCCTCCTTCCACCCTCCCCTAATCACCGAGACAGATGAGCAGTCTTCCTCCCAATGGTCGTTGGTCTCTCTCTAGCATCCTCTCTGGTGGCAGCCGAGCTGGGTAACGGCGCCCTAGGCTACAGTGTCACCTCAGCCACTCAACTAGAGGACAAGCTTTGTGTGGTTATCGAAGCGTCAGCTGCCTCCCTGGCCTCCCTCCAGCAACTCAAAAACGTAACTACTAGTAGCCTACTGTTGACTGGAAGCCTTACTGATGACATAAACAGTCAATTGACAAGTACTTGTATGTTATATGCGTTGTATACTGTATTCTTACAACAAAGTAAGCCAGAGAAGAGAAAATGTTATTAAGAAAATCATAAGGAAGAGAAGATACATTTACAGTACTACGCTGTATTTATCAATAATACAAGTTTGTTGTGGTCTGTTTACAAGATGAATCATCTGTAGAAAGGGTGACGACTGCAGTGCAGACCTCAGTCTATGGTACAGATCAAGCAATTCAACTTTTCCTTGTAATGACATGACTTCCCTCTGCTTTTTGGGAGCACATCCAGCATCACTAGTGATATTTCATATGCATTCCATTGGGTTATGAAGGGTTTACGGTATTGCACTAAACACGATGAAAATACACAAGAACTTCAAGAGATCACCTTTTAGTGTGATACAAAATTGACCAGGAAGAGGAACAGCTCACGGGGAAATGATTAGCATCACACTGCATATTTTATTATTACTATTATTTTTAGATGACGTCTCGCTCTGTCACCCAGGCTAGAGTGCAGGGGCTTTATCTCGATCACTGCAACCTCTGCCTCCTGGGTTTAAGCTATGTGTCCCAAGTAGCTGGGATTACAGGTATGCGCCACCATGCCCAGGTAATTTTTGTATTTTTAGAGGAGATGGGGTTTCACCATTTTGGCCACGCTGCTTTCAAACTCCTGGCCTCAAGTGATACACAAACCTTGGCCTCCCAAAATGCTGCATGACGCATTTTAAGAGAATACTTGCAACACTTAAGCTCATGGCGATAGCAACAGGAAATGGCTATGAAATTATTGCAGTAGTATGGCGTTACTACAGTTAATTTTACGCAGTTAGAATTTAATACTGCATTTTTACATTTGTTTATATATTTCTCTCGACTACAAATGGCATCATAAGCAGCCTATAAGTGTATGCACAAGTTTTGATGAATTTTAACTTTTTATAATAAATTTGTGTATATTTTATGGTGGTAAATTATAAAACAGACTAGTATCTACATATATTTTCTGAATTCATGACATACCTTACAATTTCTTAATGTTTCCAATATTTCTAGGCTGTGTTCATTGAGTTTTTTCAAATGATTGCAAATCTCAAAAAACATTTCCAATATATTTCTTGGAAAAAAATCTGCAAATAAACGGATCCACAAAGTTCAAGCACATGCTCAGGAGCACTGTACCTATTTTACATCCTGATCAGGATGCCTTATTTAAAACATACTTTATGTTAAAACGCATGCTCTGAATGAAAAGACCACTCAAATAGGCTTTGTGTGAGCAACATGGCTGTTTATTCACCCGGGTGCGGGCAGGCTGAGTCAGTGGAGGGCAGTGGGACAGAAGCTAATTTTATATGTTTGCAGTAGGCAGTGGAAAGTTACAGAAGTTACAGTTTAGAGTGGTCTTTTGCAAGCTGGGAGGGGGTCGTAGGGTCTGGAGTCACAAAGTTGACCAAAGTGGGTACAAAGCTGACCAAGAGTGGTTACAAAGTCCAATGACCTTGTCAATTAAGGCCGGAATCAGAAACAATAGAAGAATGTCTCAGGTTAGTTAGGCACCAAAAGGGTTGATTGCCTTTCACTTTTCATGGTCTTCAAATTCCTTCACCTTTTCTAATTCCAGAAGGCCCTCCAGAGGTGTATGTGTGCACCATGGCTCCATCAGTCAGCCTAAAAGAACTTACACTTTATTTTTCAATTATGAAAAAATATTTGCCATAAATTGATTTCATTTGTTCAGATAATAATGTGTTGTAAAATTATTCTTGCCCCTAGAAAGAAGAATTTAGGAGCCATCTCCTATCAATTACATAAAAACCCAGGAAAAGAGCATAAGTAAATTCCCACACTGCTATTATTAACACCACTCATTGATCCACGAAGGATTATCTGCGGTAACATGTCTCCCTCCTGCCTCAAGCTTCTGAGCTATATCCTGCCACCAAGAGCATATGTCACATTGAGAAATGCCAACAGATTTAAACAGATTTACCAAGACCTAATTAAGAAATTCACATTTATACTGACCAGTACTGTGCCCAATTTATGACCAGCCAACACCTGAGTGGTTATCATATGGCAGAAGCTGTTAAACCACCTAAAAGTACTTTACACCCAGCATGCCCACACTTCCTATGAGATAGGTATCAATGTCCCCACTTTACAGAAAGTGAAGCAGACACACTAGAGATTAATTTGTCTAAAACTACAGAGCTAGTAGGTGAGATCTGAATCCCCTGGCAGTCTGTATCCTAAAAGAAAACTTTTACCTCCATTATTCTCATAGAGGCAGAAAACACCCAAATGCCTAGGCAAATAGGGAAGGGTCCATGGAGAACCTCCAACCTGCCCAAGTCATTGTGCACAGGGGATTTGCCTAAACATGCCCATGGTGAAAAATTCCATCCCTTAACACATGCACAGTAAGGGAAATAAATCAATGTGGAGTGGCTCAGACTAAGGGCCCACATGCACACTGGAAGAATGGGGTGGAACCACCAGGAATTCATGCCTTATGCAGGGGAGGAGCCTGGCCTTTTCAACTTGTGTGTAGTGGGCTGGTATTCAATTTGTGAGGTAGAAACCTGCATTCAGGATCCCTCTTTTTCTTGAGAGCTTTCCTTTCACTTAATAAATTCCCTCCTCCTCACCCTTCAATATGTCCGCATGCCTAATTCTTCCTGGTCATAAGACAAGAACCTAGAGGTTTAGCTGAACTAAGGAGCAAGAAATCCTGCATCAATTTTAATAAATTGCGGCCGGGCGCAGTGGCTCATGCCTGTAATCCCAGCACTTTGGGAGGCCGAGGCCGCTGGATCGGGAGGTCAAGAGATCGAGATCATCCTGGTCAACACGGTGAAACCCCGTCTCTACTAAAAATACAAACAATTAGCTGGGCACGGTGGCGCATGCCTGTAGTCCCAGCTACTCAGGAGGCTGAGGGAAGAGAATTGCCTGAACCCAGGAGGCGGAGGTTGCAGTGAGCCGAGATCGCACCATTGCACTCCAGCCTGGGTAACAAGAGCGAAACTCCATCTCAAAAAATAGTAATAATAATAAATAAATAAACTGCATAACTGATAAAGACAGGAAGAGAGATTCACACTTAACCTGAAAGAAATCCCAGAAAGCTGAAATAAGCACCCTTTAGTCATGCTCAAATCAAAGTACTAAAAACTAGAACTGCTCACCAGTATCTAAAGATTTCAACATCAATTTGATTTAATTTAAACACCAAGCACCTACCAATATGTGAACTCTGAATTAGTCACAGGGGCTACAAAGACTAATAACAACATGCTCCCTTTGATAAAGTCACAAAGACAGTGGGTGGGTTTGTCTGGTAGGGGAAGGGGTTTGATCAAGAGAGAGAAAAAAAGAACATGTGATAAGACAGGCATGTGATAAGAAAAAGACAATAGCGTTCTCCAAATTTCTCCTCTATTTTTCTTTCTTATTACTTAAAAGTGGCAAAACATTTTCTTCCCTTCCTCAAATAAGACACATTCAGAGTGTTTGTCTCCAGGCAAACTTTGTTCTTTTCAGAACAAATTCAGAACTACAGGAAGCACCACCAGCCTGATACTAAGGAGCTGTCCTGACAAGTACCCCAGGAACTAATAACCTTGAGGCCACAGCAATCGCCTCGGTGCTCTTCTCCCTTGAAAATCAGAATTAAAGCATAATTTACCTCGAAGTCTAAACTTACAGAGGAAACGGTGCTTAAAAGTAACGTATTATCTTCTTACTGTTTGGGAACATCCCCCTTTCTCAGTCCTTCAGAAGGGCCCAAAGAAGTAGTTTGGCTAAAGTTGTTCCCATAGAACCAGTTTCGAAAAACAAGAGAAATTACTAAAGAACATGGCTTAGGCAACCTACATGGGAATTTTCAAGTTCAACCTCCCAGTTTCCAGCAAGCAGAGTGAATGGAGAAACCAGGAAATGGGGTTTTGTTTTCAACCACTTGAGCATAAGGTTTATGTTACCTTCTAGTGGGTCTTCATCTTGGTTTTCAGCTAAAGCTGTGGTTTCCTGCAACAAAAAAGGATCTCATGAGAAAATAATTTTACTTAAAGGTTAAATATCAATACATACTTTATTGGGAAAAACTCTAGCTTCTAAAAATACTATCTAAAATAAAAATAATATTGAAAATTAATCCCTTAAAATCAGATTCTGAATTTGATGGAACGAATCTTTAGGTGACATGGTACAATTATGAAAGAGGTAAACTGAGTCACAGAAGAATTGTTACAAAAGAGCAGCAAGCCTAACAGGGGCCTCTGGCCTTTGGATTTTCTGGGACCTAACTAGCATCCTAGAGCCTGAGCTAGGAACCAGACACCAGGGTCCCTGGTATCAGGCTCCTTATTTTCTGTACTCATGCCTGACTCTACCTGGAGTTCCGCTCCTCCTTCCAGAATACAATCTATACAGTCTCCATAAGCACATTTTCCTCATGGCCCTCTAATCATATCCCCAAAACCCATGGCTCAGCTAAGAACCAGGATATTAGGTGCTCAAGAAAATGAGAGGCTACAGCAAAGCAAACCAATCATATTCTTACATAATGAGAAAAGTGAACTGCAGAGGCGCTCGCAAAGTAAATCTTGGTTGGTTAACCCAGACTCTGTTGGATCTACTGGGGCAGCATACATTTTTACGATTCCGCTATAGACTTGCTGGGAACCTGTCTTTTTAAGTATGGCTAGCTATTCCAAGGAATCACTCTATCAAGGAAGGGCTGATCTAGCTCCTGGCACTTAATTAAGCTTCCCTTGCTAATAAGAATGAGAAGGTACTGAGAGTCAAAGATCCACTATCTTTCCTTTTCGGTCTGTCTGAAAGTATGTCTCCCCTTCACTCTGAAATATGTACAGGTTTGGAAAATAGGTTACCATAAATTTCAAAAGACAATCTGTGTCGTTTTTGTATTTAGATATGGCTAAGACACCAGCCACGGTGGCATGCAGCCCATAGTCTCAGCTACTTGGAAGGCTGGGGCAGGAGACCCAGGAGATAAGGCTGCAGTGAGTTATGATAGTACCACCGCATTCCAGCCTGGGCAAAAGAGTAAGACATCATCTCTAAAAACTAATTCTATAAAAGGGAAAGAAAGAAATGGCTAAGACACCCAGAATCCATGCCTCCACATGTCCTTTCCCATAATGCAAGACTAAGTAACCTCACATTTTCCTCCTTTCAATATGCGTTCTGGCAAATGTGGTTGCTAAATAACCAGGGTGAGGGAAGCAGCAACTATTTGGAGACAGATAGTCTCCAAATCTTTCTGGTCTGAGGGTCACTGGCACTGTGTATGCAGCTGACTGCCTTTAAAAAGAAGCACGTTTATAGGCTGGGCGAGGTGGCTCAAGCCTGTAATCCCAGCACTTTGGGAGGCCAAGGCGGGTGGATCACGAGGTCAAGAGATCGAGACCATCCTGGTCAACATGGTGAAACCCCATCTCTACTAAAAATATAAAAAATTAGCTGGGCATGGTGGCACGTGCCTGTAATCCCAGCTACTCAGGAGGCTGAGGCAGGAGAATTGCCTGAACCCAGGACGCGGAGGTTGCGGTGAGCCGAGATTGCGCCATTGCACTCCAGCCTAGGTAACAAGAGCGAAACTCCGTCTCAAAAAAAAAAAAAAGAAGAAAAGCACATTTATAAGTCTTTCCTCAGCTAGAGATATTCTGGGAAAGTGTGTTGATGGGCCACAAAGACCTGAGAATCATGTTGGAGACACCCACCTCCACAATGCCAAAATGTAAAGAAGAGGGCTACAGAGGGGTAACCCGTTAACTTGGGGCGATAAAGGTTATGGACAGAGGCACAGCACATTGCGGGAAGCAGGGAATAAAGCTAGGACATCTCAGCGAGGACACACTTTATTAGAGAAGAACAAAATGGGGATGGGTGAGTGAAAGAGCGCTACCACAGAGCCTTCCCGTCTTTAGTTTTGCTCAGCAGATTCCCAACAGGGAACACCCAGAAGGATGGCAGGGAGAAGGCACAGTGGGGTCACCACAACCACAAAATGTATTTATATAATTCTTGTACGAAAAAATGCATGTTACAGTAATAATTTGGCTGGAGGGCGAGATAAAAATCTCAGGATGTGCCCACAAAAATGGACAGAGGAATGGAGAGAAGGGGTATCCAGGTGAGAAAAAAAGGATGTTCATTTCTCAATTTGCTCATGAGTGATGAAAAATCAACAAATACTTTCACTTCTGAAGTTGGTAATATACTCATTCTTATACTTCTCCATTTAAAGATATAAGGGTAACCACCAAAAACAGACCATCTCCCAAAAAAGAACAAAAAGGGAAGAGGCGAAAGAAAAAAAAAAAGAGTGACAAAACCTCAGGCAATGTGGTGAAATATATTTTTTTAAGTCCTTCAATATCAAACATCTGTTAAAAGGGAAAAACCCGTATTGGGCCAAAAGGGGGGAAAAAATGACAAGAAATCTAACATATTTTACACAAGAGGCACACCTAAAACAGACCTGAGAAAAATTGAAAATGAAACTTTGGGCGGTAAAATATCATAATATAAAGCAAATGTAAGTTTTAAAAGTCAAGGGTCTAGCTGTGAAATTCAACTTTGGTTTTAAGGCAAAGATCATCACACAAACGGTGTCACTATGCATATTAGGAGAAAAGCTAGGGTGGGGGACATCCGTAACATTTAGAGCAAAAATTTTGTTAATTTCTCTAACCTGTGAATATCTTATGCAGTAAGCAAGAGGGACACAACTCAACAGAAAAACGAGAAAGATGGTATCAAAGTCACAGAACACAGATACCAATAAACACTTCAAGAGGTATTTGCCGTCGGTAATAGATAAATGCCTCCCTGGCCTATCAGATTGCCCAATCATATACAGAGAGGAATGTAGAGTAGCAAGAACACCCACCACAATAACGAAAAGTACAAATTCTTGCAGACTTTAAGTAATTTGCTATTTAAACATTTTTATGTTACATCCTTTAATCCAGCCCTTCCACATCCAGAAATAAATTCTTGGGAAAAAATCAACACTCAGAAAAATGCTTGAAGATAAGGAAGTTTGTTAAAGTCTGGAAAATATTTAAAACGTCAGATAAGGGATGAGCTAAAAATCACAATGTATCTAAATGAGCTCACTCTGTTGCTCACGCTTGAGTACAACGGCACAATCATGGCTCACTGCAGCCTCAAACTCCCGGGCTCAAGTGATCATCCCGCCGCAGTCTCCCAAGTAGCTGGGACTATATGTGTGAGCCATTTTGCCCAGACCATAAATGGGCAACTTTTAAAGAAAGGTCTCCTTATGCAGAAGCAAGCAAAGAGCAAAACAGTATGTACTACATAGTTCACTCTTGCCTAAATCATCCCCTAACCACCAAAACAGAAAGACAAACCGTGCTGATTTAGCAAGAGTACAGGGGAAAGATCTAGAAGACATCCACTCCAACAGCATTTTCTTCTAAGTGGAAAGGGAGTGGGGAAGGAGGAGGGGAGTGGGGGGAGCTTTTCCCTGACTTCAGTACATCTTTGTGTGATTTGAGAAATATGTCACTTTAGTAATTCAAAGTATTACAACATCTTTTTAAAGTGTGTTTATATCTAATTGCTATAAAACAAACCCCAAAACTACTTTTTGTCCTATATTAAGTGTTAAAGAGTAAAATTTATTGAATTATGATAATCTAAAATTTAGTAGCAAGAATTTAGAGAAAGACTTCATCAGCCTTTTGTTTCTGGAAGAGAATGAGAAATTATCTGCAAGTAAAAACTTAATGGGTTATACATGTCCAAACTCAGCGAATCATAAAAATTAAACATGTACAGGAGACTTTCTGGGTATCAAGTGTACACCGCAGTAAAGCTGAACAAACGTTTGTCTGAGGCTATCATCAGCTTTACTCTCTAGTTTTAAAACTGGCAGCAAAAGCCGTGGCTGTGGAAATTTGGATGAGAGGATAATAATGTGTGAAGATAGGAAAGTGATGTTTACTATTATTGGGCCCATGATTGACACACGATTCATTCCAGCAAGGGATACCTTAGGCATAACCAAAGTTCCAGCTGTGTGTTGAGGGGTCTCACGTGCAGAAAAACAGTTCTGTCCATTTCTATCCACTGCACAGCTGTAGCTGTAGCCAGAAAGAAGGTAAGAGCTGGGCTGTTGCATGTACCAGTTGCCACAGTGGTAACCCAGCAGGATGGGCTGGAACTCCTGCTTCACTCTAATAGCAGAGGGGAGAGCACAGCAATGACAACCGTCACCAACCAACACAGAATCATTCACAACGCCCCCCACCCCCCAACCTCTTTCCAGGAAGTTTGCAGTAAGTTGAACACCTATGTTCAAAGCCATTGTTTGTAAGTTACCAACAGTTATGTAGCAAATAGAACAGTAACAGCTTTCTTTTTCCTTCAAAGGAGAAAACTGCTCCCCTTTGCCAGTAGCTTGTAATAGCTATTGTGTTGAGCTATGCCAAAACCTGCAAAACTCTCCTGTTCTGCCATTTATCCAGAAACCTTACAAAAAGAGAACAGAATCCGGTTTTTATTCCTGCATCAAAAATTCTGGCCTGTGGGCTAAAACCTCTCAACCCTGACAGGTAAGTCTCGCAACTACCTGAGATAATTAAATTTAGTGGCAATTCCTGCTAGAAGGCAATTAATTGCTTGACTTTCCTGACAACAGGGCAAAGGTGTGGGGGGGAGGGGTGCACTAAGGCACCTGGGAAAAATTCTGCCACCCGTTCCTCTGGCTTCCACCTTCCCGCCCTCTCTCCCAACTGTCAGGCCTGGGGGAGCCAGCAGAACCCCAAGGAGGGACAGAAGGGGAAGATGTGTCCATCGACAATGAAAGAGTCTCCACTGCATCCCTTATCATAACGAGAGGACTCTTTAATAACAAAATCTTAAGACAAATACATCTCTCCTCAGTTATCATTCTGAGAATAACTATTGGAACTAGCTAGTGCGTTTTTATTTTTTTTAATCCCATGCAGGGATTAAAAGCATAATTATTGAAAGCATAATCCAAACTAGCTGCAAAATTAAGAGGCAGCGAAGAAAGCCTTCCTTTGCTCCCTTCCCTCCTGTCTCTCTTCCTTTTCTCTCTCTTACACCCTACATTAATGAGAGTACAGGATGCAATTTTAAAGAAATATTTCTCTGGTTCAGTATTTTTTTAAAACGCATGATAAAGCTTCCCGAAATTTAACATGCATACAAATGACCTAGACTTGTTTAAAATGTAGGTTCTTTAGGCTGGCACAGTGGCTCACATCAGTAATCCCAACACTTTGGGAAGCTGAGGCGGACAGATCATGAAGTGAGATCGAGACTATCCTGGCTAACATGGTGAAACCCCATCTCCACTAAAAAATAAAATAAAATAAAAAAATTAGCCAGGCGCGGTGGCCCACACTTGTAGTCTCAACTACTCAGGAGGCCGAGGCAGAACAGCTTGAAACCAGGACGCGGAGGTTGCAGTGAGCCGAGATCACGCCACTGCACTCCAGCCTGGCAACAAGGTGAGACTCCATATTAAAAAAAAAATAATAAATTCTTTAACTTGACAGATCTGGAGTGGAGCCTCAAATTCTGCCTTTATACCTAGCTCCTGCCACTTTAAGCAGCAAGGATACACAGTGTCAAAATTCAAGATAACTTTTGAGTCCATACCGGGTGCTTGGGGTGTGGCCATTTCCCTGCTGCTGGCTAATAACTAAGTGCTAATGTATTTTCTACTTACCTGTAATGTGAAAAATAGCAGACTTGATGAATTCAAAACATTCTGATCATTCAATCATTCACCAGTTATTTATTGAGCCATTACTACAGTCATCCCTTAGTATCCATGGGAGATTGTTTACAGGATCCCCCTCAGATACCAAAATCCTTCGATGCCCAATATAAAATGGTGTAGTATTTGCAAAGAACCTACACACATCCTCCCATAAACCTTAAATTCTGTCTAGATTACTTACAATACTTAATACAATGGCTATATATTACTTCATGTGGGTTCAACAGTAGTATCCGGCATGCGGCAAATTCAAGTTTTACTTTTTGGAGTTTTTGTTTTTAAGATGGAGGCTCCTTCTGTCACCCAGGCTGGAGCACAGTGCTGTGATCTTGGCTCACTGCAACCTCTGCCTCCCAGGTTCAAGTGATTATCCTGCCTCAGCCTCCCCACTAGCTGGAATTACAGTCCCCCAACCACACCTGGCTGATTTCTGTATTTTTAGTAGACATGGGATTTCACCATGTTGCCCAGGCTGCAGTGCAGTGGCGTGATCTCGTCTCACTGCAACCTCTGCCCTCCAGGTACAAATGATCCTCCTGCCTCGGCCTCCCTAGTAACTGGGATTACAGGCAACTGCCACCCCTGGCTTTTTAGTTGAGACGGGGTTTCACCATGTTGACCAGGCGGGTCTCAAACTTCTGACTTGAGGTGACATGATCACCTTGGCCTCCCAAAGTGCTGGGATAACAGATGTGAGCCACCGTGCCCAGCCTCCCAAATATTTTCAATCCATCATTGGTTGAATCCAGGGATGTAGAACCCACAGAAAGCTGAGAGCTGATGGCATACACAAGGCAAGGCAACTGGCATTGGTGATACAGTGGAGTTTATCCGGAGTGAATCTCCCCATGTCTTCAAGGGAGATTTTATTGATTAGCAGCAGTGGCAGATACTGTTAGGTGCCACCCAATATTGATTTATTTTCTTCCATTATAACAATTCTGATTTCACTTGGGCCAGCAATAGGCTCAAGCTAAAAGACTACATTTCCTTGCTTCTCCCTTGAAGCAAGACGTGGCCAGGTGGCCAATCTGGCTAAGAAGATCTAAATAGAAGTATTAGAATGGGATTGAGGAAAGCTGTGTGGGAAAAGGGTATTTGCTAACCTGGAAGGGGGCCTTTTTGTCCTCTACTCTCTCCCCAGGTCTGGTGCTGGGATTACAAATGACAGGTAGAGTCAGAATAACTGCAGCTATCTTGGCTATGAGGTGACATGAGGGAAGAAGGCATACAGAGTAATACGGTGATCCAAGACAGAATGAGTCTGGGTCACTGATGACTAAGGACTCTTTCCACTAGCACTAGACTGGCCTACTACTGGTTTATTTTACTTAATAAATGTCTTGTTTAAACCACTGTTATGTCAGGTTAAATACAATTCCTAACGACTATAGCTTAGACAACCAATAAAAATGTTAAAAATTCTTTTTCTATAAAAACTTTTTTTTTTACTTATTTCATTTTAGGACTGACTTTATTTCACACAAAGAAAATCACAATTACGGCTATAACCAGGTGAGTGCTGAGGCTGCAGTTGGAAAGGAATATAGAAGTTGAACACTGAGGAGGTGGTAAGGAGACCGAGGAAGAGAGAGGTCAATGTAATCATGCTGAAACCAGCTAGGAAAATGGCAGCAGCTGTGGTGAGGAAGGAGGCTCAGGCATCTAGGATCACCTCCCCCTTGATCTCCACACTGCAATAGAAGAAAAGGCTGGCTGGCTGACTGGTGCCTCAATCACCTTCCTATAGGATAGCAGGCACGGTAAGGGGGAAATCTCTCCAGAAGATACTGTTTTTACTTAAACAAGATCAAATCTCCACCCCACTCCTCCATTTGGAGACCAGAAACCTTTCACATGTAATTCCTAAAATTGTAAACCCAAGACCCTTTCATGTGATTTCTAAAGCTGTAAACCTAAGACCCTTTCACTTGTAATTTCTAAGACTGTAAACCTAAGATCCTTTCACGTGTAATATCTACAGTGTATGCCTACATAAAGGCAGAGCTTCTCTTTTAGGGGAGCTTGGCCGTTTAAACAGAAACATAAAGCCTTGCTCCCGGGCCGTAATAATCAAACCCCTTCCCTCTCTAATTCAGTGTCCGAGAGGTCTGTTTCTCACAGCTGCTCCTGCTTCAGTGAAACCAGAAGATTGTGAGCAAGATCCCAGAGAAAAGATGGGCACTTAAGACCTTAGAGAGGACAGTGACCAGGAAGGGCTCACAAGCACTGTTTTGCTCTCTAAAAGCCCCAAATGCAAATCATCTGTTTCAACTAGATTACTCCCTGTCAGATCTCTTGCATGAATTGATGAATCAAATCTAAGAGACTTAAGAGAAAAGCTAACCCTTTAAAACATAGGATGGACATTTTATCAAAATTAGACAATATCTGCCTGTTACAGCAGACAAAAGGGCCACGGCACACAGAGGGAACGGCATTTCTGCATACGGACAAATGAGTCGAAGATGGTGGATTTAAGGGTAGACAGATCCCATAAGTTGACAGTATTCGAAACTTAATGAAAAAAGTTCTCGCTCTTTCTCTGAATTTCTGTCCTAGAATTTTACAAATTATTAGAACTAGATTAGGAGAAATCACTTACAGATAAAGCTATACCAGTTCGTTATTGGTTGGGAACTTATTTGCGAGCTGGGCAGTGGAGTTGCAAAGATGCTGGAGGTATGGATCTTGCCTTAGAGACATTCCCTCCATAAGGGTTGGAGGACTGAGGAGATACATAGATGGAGAGAAAGTACAGCAGAATGAATAGAAAGCTTTAGTAAATTGCCAGTAGTCAAAAGGTAGGTAGGACTGTACTCACAGCTAGAAATCCTACTTTCTAACATCTAGCTCAGTTTTATTCTTGAAGCAATTCTCAGTATTTTCCAGAAACTTGTTTTATTGAGTACAGTACTTCTTTATGAAGTCAAGGTGTCAATCTTGAATTACCTAGATAATTTGGGAGTATGTCACTCGACCTGTTGCTTTTGTTTATTTGTTTTCTACTCCAGTTATTTGCTTTTGGTCTTTGGCTGAAAAGTGATGTGTTTTGAATAGTCAAAGATGGATACTATTGAGTGTTTTCTTTGTAGTGAAATTACTTAACTATGTTTCAGACACACAACAGGCCTCACAGCAATCCTGAGGCAGATACAGTTGTTCTCATTTTTGCAGATGAGGAACCAAAATGTTCCTCCTAAATTTAAGTGACTGCGGAAGGCCATACAGCTAATAATTGGCAGAGCTGACCCAAAATGTCAGGAGCCCCCAAAGGGTCTCTGACATTTGAGGCTCTTAACATTCCCCTATACTGCTACTAAATCTAAGTGATAGCCTAGATAAACCCACATTGTGTGAATTTGAAAAGGTTATTTGATGTAAGCCCATAGCAGCCCCTCAAGAATGCTTGATTCAAAGGAG